AAAAAAAAAAGAATTATCTCATTTGTATAGAGCAAAAAAATCAAATATATAAAAATAGGGATTTAAAATTGATTTATTGAATTAGAAAAACTAAATGGCACTAATTTTGTCTATCTATATTTTAAAAAAATTAATGAAAAATTAACTCACCACATGGTGCAATGAGCCAGCGCTCAATATCTTTTCCAACCCAATAATCGATTCCAATAGAAGCACCGTCCTTTACATCGCCACCATTAACATCCCAACACAGCTTAGTGTTATTAACCATTGTTATAGATTTGTAACCATCTGCATCGCCCACGGTGCACTCGGTCCATAGTATAGGCTCATCATTGGTATTGCAAGCGCATGAGTAAGAAGTTACTTCCACCTAAAAGGAAAACATTTTTAAGAAAACAAAATTCAAGGAAAAGTTTGCAATATATCTAAAGTTTATAAAAAATACCAAAAGAGGTTGATACTACTAATTTCAAATTTTGATTTAAAGTTAAAATTAAAAATTTAAACTCTTACGATATATTATCATGTAGCTTATTTCAGATATATGTATACCCAAAAAAATTATATCAGATTTATGAAGACAACTTATGATTCTTACAGGTCGATTGACAGCAGGGTGCTTGATGGCATGCAGAGTGGCTTTGTTAACCAAAGAAAAGCAAGAGCCCTCGTTATTGTTTCCTTGGCTCTTCTCAACTTTGTACCATTGCTGCAAATATACAACCATACGCGATACATATTAATTAATGCAAACCAAACATGGGATAGATAATGCAATAAGGACCAATCCAGACAGCAATGTAAATATATTTCCTAACTGTCCGAAGATGAACAGCGAGGATCGTCACTGGGATACAGGGGTCACATAGAGGTTTCACCCGTGCGAGAAGGGCACGCCTAAGGTGAGAGGATAGTGAGGGAGACATGTCCACGATGAGAGGACTAGAAAGGTAGCCACAATGGTTTAAAAATTTGACCCTTTATGTTAGAGAATCTAGATTTTAAATTTGAAGTCTAAAGTGAGTAGGAAAGAGTTTGAGAAAGAAATAGTTATCTCTTGTTGTGTATATGTATACCTGATACTTATCATTGGCATTTGCCGGAGCCAAGGCCACCTTGCCATTTCTCATGCTGACGAACAGGGTTGGTGCAGCCTTGCAATAGATATTACAAATTGGTGCGCTGCTGAGGCCCTCCATTTCTTGATTTTTGATCTGTTAATTTAAAGAAGCTAAGAACAAGAAATACAACGATACTTCGAGTTGGAGATTTACGGACTACTTATTATATAGTGTGTGCAGGTCATCTAATAAGCATTTTTAAGGGTAATGCTCTAGCGACCGATCAGTATCCCGGCCCGATTGGTCCCTACAGTTTTTTAGATTTTTGCTTCTTAAATTTAAAATTTTAAATTCATTCTTTTTTTTTTTTAATACTAATTCTCCAATATCTAGAAATCAAATTAAACTCTAATTAATTCGTAATTGAATCATGTCAAACCTCATATAAAAGAAAAACTCTTATACCGTTTGTTTTCTCTACTTACAAAATTCAAATTTGAAATTTTACTTAAGAAAAATAGAGTTCTTTTCACTTATACCAACAACACATTGGTTAAATTTCACTCTTTGGTCCTACAATTTTAATTTTTAAATTACTAAACACCTAAACTTTTAAATATTAAAC